GTGATCAGGATTTGGTGGCAAAAACCATTAAGGCATGTTTCATGGAAGCATGTCCAATCTTGATCAATAATTTGCATTAAAGCAGATTGTTGAGTCAAGAGAGAACTTAGAAGAGAGAAAAGATATGAACTAACTTTTACCTGTAGGTCCAGATACTTGTTTGAGTTTCCTTGCATCATGTGATCGATACTCCCAAGGTAAAGCCTACACTTTATTTTATGCAAAGAAATGAGGTTAGTTGAGGGGAATGTCAAATAGTATTTGCTAAGTTGTTGGTCTGATGAATCTGGTTGCTAAGCTAGGATATTGCATATTAAACTTTTGTGATTAGAATGTTTTAGATGTGGATTGCAATATTATAGAGGTTATGATTTCAAAGTTTTTAAATCAGTGAGTCCCTATTCTTTTCAAACCTCTTTCAAAGAGACTACCTGTTTGTTTTGTTTGAGGACAAGCAAAAAGATAAGTCTGGGGGAGTTGTCTACTATTTACTATACTATAGAATCTTTTAAGCATGTTTATGAGATCAGAAGTATTTTGGAAGAAAGTGATGTTTTTGGAGCATTTTGGAGAGAATTGGAAGAAGCGCTTGATTCAGACTCGATCACGAGGTCGACACAGAGAGACCCGGATCGATCGACATGCATCCTGCATGATCGATCGATTATCAAGACCCAGAAGCCAATTCGAGAAATAAGTTTACTTGAAGCCCAATCATCACTAAATGACGATTTTACCCCTGGCGACCTTTAACCTAAGATTATATATTTTGCAAAAGTGTTAGAGGCAAGAGAAATGATTTTTTGTGAGAGCTTTTTGTATTCTTTTCACATCAAAAGTTTTGGGGTTTTTAGTTTGGAGAGAAGATCTTCAGAGAAATTTGAGATTGGAACTCCAGCTTCCTACCTAACTATTTATTTATAATATGCAGTTTTATTTATTTACTTATGTTATGAATTGCTTGGCTATGTCTGAGTAGTTTGCTTGTTAGATTAAGTGTTTAAATAGGTTAGAGGGATTAGTCCCAACTATAGGATTGCTAGTTGTGATACTCATTGATAGGATGTTTTAACTGCTCATGGTTCTCGAGTAGCTAATTAGAAACATTGAATCCTGGATTATTTAGGTTGGATTAGAGACATTTAAGTGATTCTAAATATCATGAACACATCTTTATCAAGCTAGGATTTATTAGAAATATAATTGACATAATTTGATTTAGAAATCTTTAGTGAGTTTAGGTTAACTCATGTGTATTGCTTGACCGGAGTCATCGATCGATCTTCCTAGAAGAAATCGTTTGATGATGAGTTAGTGTATCGGTCGATTGTTCTATAGATAATCGCTCGACACTGTCAATTGCGACCATCTGGTCATTAGACTGATTTATTTGAACGCTAGTTTAAGTAGATAGTTCAACAAGAATAGTTAATGCTCTATAGTATCTCGCAAGCAACTAGATAGCATCCTATAGAATCATAATCCGAAAACCTGAATAAAACCCCAAAGTCTAGCATCTTTCCATATTAGTTTTAGAATTCTAAATTTCCATTTTCGATTAAGTAATTGTCGTGCTTAATTGGAATATTTCCTTATTGCTTATTTATTGTTTTTACTATTTATACATTCACCTAGAATTGCATTTAACTAGATTTATTAGGTTCATTAGCTCATTGTCGATTCGATCCCTAAGTACTACAACTGAATCTCTTATTTGAGAGAGTAATTCACTTCTTAGGGTAATTTGAGTGATATCAGAGTTGAAGATGTGAGTGAGTTCAAGCTTAAGGGGGAGATTGTTGAATAAGTTTGAAGAGATATTTGAGGAATAAGGAAATCTATTCCAAGTTGGTTTATGATTTGTTTTGGTGTTTTACAATTAGGAATATGAAGTTGACCAAAACAAAAATTAGGAATATGAATTTGTTAACTCTATATAAAGCAATGCCGTGTGTTGACAAATGCTAAGAGGTTTTGGTGATTGATTTGTGATCTTTAGGTTTTGAGATATTTTCTTAAAGCTTTGTTTTATTGAATAAGAGAATGACTTCTTATTGATATTGTGATTCTAAAAGATGATGTGTCTTTGGTGTTCATAGCTTGCAACTGGAGGAGGATATGAAGCATCTACACCAGAGAGATGATTCATCATCTCCTTGTGTTATGGACACAAAGCACACCAATGCAAGCAAACAGTGAACCAGGAGAAAATCACAATCATTCTCCATACATGATGTGATGTAGGATTTTTTATCTACCTTGAGATGATAATTCTTCTGCAGTTCTTGGCGGAACAAGCTTTGAATAGATTCAATTTATTTGAAGATCAATTTAACTACTGTGATTAATTTTGCACTGTATACATACTTTGTGTACACTAATACACTTTTGAACAACAAAAACAGTATCACACTATACACTTTTTAAATTTACACTTAATTACAGTAACTGCTTCTTCTCAGATCAATCAACACCTTTTTCTACATAAAACTAAAACAAAATTGCTATATTCTTATAAGTAATATTCAAATGAATCATATAGAACAAAAGTATATTAATCGCTAGTCCATAAACCGTGAAACCCCATAGGAAACGTTAAATTCCTCGGAACTGCTAATCTCGTCACGACCGCATCAGATTCACCGATCTTCTTCGCATCCAAAATCACAAGGAAACATCTCTCCACCGAAACCGCATACTGTAAATATATAGTAGATTACAATATGTATCAAAAAACCTTCGTAAAAACTAAACTAAAGTATATTTATATATAAACGTACCTCGACGACGATAATGTAACCATCGTCTTCTTCTCCTTCGTTAGAGCTCTTAGGGACAAACATTGGTTCACCGACGAATCTCCTAGCTCCGGTAGACCAAGTACGCACAGTTTTCGAGTCTAGGTCAAACTTCACGACCATGTCGAAAGGGAAATGAGGAAGTTCACGTCGAGTTCCCGAAGAGGATGCACAATACATGTATTTGTTCTCTTCTCCTGACCATGATGAGTTGATAACCGGAAAATCTGACGGCTTGTTCCAACCGTTTAGAGGATCTACGTCACAGCTCTTGCAGTTTCCAATAGCATCCAAGGTCATCGACACCTACGATTGTTACTACATTTTTAGTTACTTTTCACTATAAATTTGAGTCTTGATGAACAATTTTCCCTTTGTATTTGAACTATTGATGTTTTAAGATTTTCACATATATTAATAAAAATTAAATACATACTTTTATCTATTTATTTTTGTTTTGTTTTTAATTCTTTTAAATTTTGCTTGTTTCCCAAATAAGGTATATACCATTTACTATTTTTATATCTTAATTTAAATTTTAGTTTTAAAGCAAATTGCATCATTAAAAGCGAAAATATATCAATCTTTCTAAATACAAAATAAAATTCAAAACATCATACTTTTAAATATGGAATGAGTAATTTTAAGGCCAATCTTATCACCTTAACTAGATGAGGGAGTAGTTTGTCATCGCCACGGCTTAGATTCATAACAGAAGGATCCAGCTTGCTGCTTTGCCAATCATATCCTGCAAGGAAAAAAATGTTCAATAGCTAACTTTTGATGAACACCTAGAAACCCTAACATGTTTATATTTAGTAACTTACCAAACATTTTCTGAAAATCAAACCAACGGTATGAGCACGCAGAAGCTTGTATTTGAATCTGTAAATCACCGTTATCCTCTCTAGTCTCATAAGCGTTACCAGAGTGAATTAGCCATAACTGAGAAGACACTTCCACAGGCACTCTCCAGTCTCTACTCCCTATAGATTTCTCGGAAAATCTTGGGAGGAGATAAATAGGAGAACTCTCGTTGCTTGGGTTTAACGATAACGCTGATACCATAGGTGACATCCCACACATAGCCGCCATGGAACCTGAGAATATACATATCCGTATCAGATTCTTTGTAACGCATGCATGTATTATTCATAGAGAGTATGTCTTATTCTTGGTGTAAATGACTTGTAGTTGTAACATAAGTGAGTTAATTAGTTTTTTACCAATTGGATTAAGCTTGACTCTGTTGGCAAAGAGTATGTAGTGAGTATCTGTGACGGCCCAATCATGAATCATCATATGATCATCAATCTTGAATTCTCTCGTTTGTATCAACTTGAATTCCGAATCATACTCTGTAAATAATCGTTTTTCCATTACAAAAATACTAAAAAACAATTGAATAATTTTCCAAATAAATTTACAGATTGGTTACCACAAAATGTGAAGTTGCTACGAGGTAAGAGCATATCTTCAGCGTTGCAAGTCACCGTTAAAAGTCTTTTCCTTCGATCGTCGATTTTATAATGTGACAAGAAACGTTTTGGTGGCATCTTAAACACACCTAACATAAAGAAAAATAATTTTAATTATACTTCGTATTAAAAGTAAATTAAGTTTAAGCCGCTGTCTGAATAATGGACTACATGCTTTTATAATCTAATCAACTTTACTTTTAACACAAAACATACCTTGAAGTATGGGTTTCAACAACCCTGCGGCTGTGTCCCATATATCATGACCAGCAACATCTCTGTCGGAATCATCATCATCATCATCATCATTACAGCCGTTGATCGCAACGTTGAACCTCCCGACGGTATCCAACGAACCAGATTCAATCTCATAAGGTTCACCACCTTCCCATAAACAAAGCAATCGCCCAGCCCATTTCAAAACGCTAGTATTAGCCACGTTTTTCATTACTTTGGTGTTTCCGAACCGTTTCCCACCTTTTAACACCGAGAAAGGACCTCTGTGAGTAAACCGCCACGTGTCAGTTATTGGATCGTGTTCTTCTTCTTTAGCTTCTGTCTTAACGTACTTCGCCATGAACGTTGCTTTACGTTTGTCTCCGTCGATGTGAAAAGCACGTAGATAACCGTGACCGTCTAATGGATGGACCGTTGACCCATGGTCGTCTTCAAAAAGTCCTGGACCGGCTAAGTAATACGTACCGGAAGGGAAATCAACCGGTATTGAGCCTTCTATTGGTTTAATTACGACCGGTTCGACTGTCTCAGAACGTTGTGACATGAATAAAGACTGGTAGTCGCGAAAAGCTGAAGAAGTGGACTCTTCGTGGATGGTGCCGGTACGTCCTAAACCGGTTTCCGGGATGGCTATAGATATGGCAGCGCGTGGCGGTGCAAGCGGTGGCGGAGCTTGGTGATGATGAGTCGGTGGAGATTTTGACGGTGGAAGAAATATTTTCGGCGGGAGAGGGAGAGACATTTTGATCATCATTTTTTTTGTAGTGTGTAAATTATAGTATATAGTTTTATTTCAAACACGCAAATCATATGTTATATATACAGAGTGAATAAAATGGATACGTGGCTGTGTGCATGTTCAGCAACTATGGTGGGGTAGAAAATGTTTAGTGATTTTGTGGAAGACGTGAATAAAAATCCTAATATGGCAGACATATTTTAATATACAAATTTAAAATTCAATTAGTGTGATTAGAACTTGGAAGTGAATATTATTTCGTCAGACGACATAAATCCTTATAGTTGTTGCTCATGAAACTTACAGAATTATTGTTAATATTCACTCATAATTCAATATATTTGATTGTAAGAGACGTGTATCAACAATATAGAAGAGTGAAGCAGACAACAAGAACCGAGAAGCGATCACCGACACTCCACAACTTGATCCTAATGATAGATTCGGACAGTTTATGTTGTATGAATGTGTCTTGTGGATAATTATGTTGTAATCAATTAATATATTAGTATCAGATTTTTTTAACGAGAGTTGTAATCAGTAATATACTTGTATAATAAAACCACTAGCATATTGATTTATTCTGTGCGTTAATCTCATTGGTTAGACCAGCCATAAAATTTATTTTACTGAAGCTTCAAATCGTCCCACTCTCTATTATAATACAATACTTTTGAGGGTGAAACAATAGTATTAAACTAGTAAAGAATCTCCTTATGGTTTCGGATTTCAACGTTCGAATCATAGAACCCTCATTCATATGTCTTCAGTTTGGAGAACATTTATAGACAAGTCTTTGAAACAATGATATGCAATAAACCATGTCAAACCATATGCCGCCCATAAGTATAGGCCATGTTATCAACTAAAAATGTTTTAAATTCAATATCATGAAATCAGTTTAAAGAGTTTTGATACCTATATATGGAGTGGATACGTAGTTGTTGATGAATACAAATTATAAAGGAAGTATATTGAAAGGCTGCCACAATTCGATGAAATTTTCATTTTGTCATCAATGAAACTTATTAATAATTTGTTCCAATTAATGTGTTATTTCTTGGGTCCAGCCAATGTTAGTGTGACCAGTTAATGAGATAATGATCAAGAACAATACAACTATGCGTTTACTTGCTAAAACAAAAGTTTACGTACATGAAATCATTGCAGAACTTGTGTTTTATTTTTTTACACTTAAATACGTAACTTACATGACCAATTCATAAATACATTTTGATTCACAGAGAGATCAAGAGAAGAAGTGAGACTTTTACTTATATGGTAATAAAATGGAAGTGTAAATTGGAGCGTTGAAACATAGAAGATGGATGCCGTCGTACCATAAAGCACTTGATTAGGAATTGAGAGTGGATGAAAGAGTGATGGTGGGAGATTAGTGCTACCAACAAAGAGTATTTAAAACTACAAGAGAATTATTATATATGATTATAGGTTTGATTAAATGTTTAATATTTGACCATATATGGCAAAGCTGGAATTAAAGGTGATTGACGTGGGTCATCTTATGTCTGCTCTCAGCATTTGAGCCGTCGATGCCGGATCTTCTGACGTCATGCATTCACAACATTTGTCTGTATTTTGGAAGCTTTGTGATTATTTCCCCAAATGGACTTTCTTATAATTATCTTAGTATTACCTCATATGATATTTTTCCTTTCTTTGGTCAAAAATCAATACTTCCAAGGCAACTGAATTGCTATTATATGGAACACGAATAATAGAACAAATTATTCTACCAGCTTAACAAAATTTTGTTTATTTAGTATTCCACTAATTATATTTTAAGAAAATAAAAAATCTAAAGAGAAACATATCATAAATTTTTTTTTATGAGTGCATAAGATAAATTTATTCTATTTTTATCAAATAGCATTTATCTTTATTACATTTATCTTTTAGGTTTATCATTTGCAATCTCAATATAGTATCAAAGAACAATATAGTTGTGGATATAATTCAGTCAAAATCTAAGTGGGTTTTATATATAATAATTCAAGTTTCTTTGAAATCTATAAAGAATAGTTAAGTCCAAATCCCAACCCCAAAGTCATTCGGTAAATGAAAGGCATCGTTTTATAATGATTAACAAGTGAGAAAGTTTGTTATAACAAATGGTTCGTCTCGAACCATGACAATCACGGAAAAGAGAGAGAATCTACTCAAGATAATGTTGAACTAAAGAGAAAAGGCGAGACTTAGCTCAAAGTCGTGAAGTTGAGGCTCGACGGAGTCACGTAAGTGGTACACAGTTTATATCATTCTGATGGTGATGATTTACCGGTCTCATAGAGGATAAAACAAGTGAGCTTGATTTCTCTTCTTTGTAATCTGTTTGTGGATCCGCCATTGTTGTGATCTTGAAAACTTGATTGCGATTGATAGTGAATTAGATGAGGGACACCGATTTCCTCCACGGTGAGTAGATAAGCAAACACCAGGTGAACAAATCTCTGTGTGTCATGGTTGCTTGCATTTCTAGATTTTGAACCTAAAACCAGAAACAAATCAAAGTTAGTAATCACATAAACAATATAACCAAAAGTAAATCGATCAACCGAGGCTTCTACCTCAAGTCGTAAAGGGATTACAGCTGTGAGTACCACCACCTGGGTTTGAATCCCGGCCACTGGGGAATTAACATTTCGGCATCTCCAGAGACAGAAGACCGACATGTGGCAACACATGACTAGTCTTGATCACTTCTGTGAGGCCACGATACCTCTGTATAATTCAAAAAAAAAGTAAATCGATCTAAAACTCTACAAGTTGTATCAAAGCATAAGGTTGGGTGCTAAGGCTAAGAGTAAGATCAGATATGATAAGAGAAGGGGAGAGATCTCTTATCTTTGATTGCTTGTTTCGAACGTTGTGGTTTGAGGTATCTATGTTTGTGCGGATGCGGTTGTTGTGGTTAGTGTTCTTGTTGCAATAAATATCAGGATCTCTACGGTTCAATATGGAACCAACTCTCGGGAGATTTGAGATGGAGAAGTCTGATGGAAAATGAGACTTTGGAATGTGGAAGCTCGAGATGATGGGGCAGCTGGAGAGTAAGGGATTCTCTCAGTTATTATTGATGACTTCATGATTTAGTCCACCTCAGAAAAGTAAATAGAAGGTGGGGAACCAGTGCTAGATCAAAAGAGGTTTAAAAAAGACTGAAGAGTGAGAAATTTACTTGGTACCTGCTTAAGCCACTCTATCTTGAGAAAGGTCATGCACAAGCAAACTGATCTAGGCATGTGGAAGTCTCTTGAAAAGTTATATCAACTGAAGTCTCTTGGTACCCGGATTTATCTGAAGAAAAAATTTTCATGTTACAAAATGGTAGAAGACAAATCAATTGAAGAAAATTTGGACATATTCTTGAAGCTTATAGCTGATCTTAAGAGTCTGAAAGTTACCATCACACACGAAGATCAAGCTATCCAGCTTCTCTCTAGTCTCCATGCTGCGTATGAGCCACTAGTTCACACTCTTCAATATGTAACTAGACGAGACACTCTTACCGTCACTAAAGTTGTTACCTCATCATATTCAAAATAAGTCGAACTTAGACAAAAAGACTTATTAAACAAATAGAAGTATTCTTCTGAAGGGTTATATGTTGAATTAAGAAGAAGGTCATCTAAGCGGTATGACAGTGGTAACAACAAGAAGTACAGCATGTCTAAAAGCTGTGGTGATCAATCTAAGTCCAGAGGCAGATCAAACAAGAAAAAGAAAAGAGCATGTTTCTCTTGTGGCAAAGAAGACCCCTAGAAACGAGATTGTCCAAACAGAGGACATATAAACAATGGTGAACAAGCTGTAAATGCAGTAACTGAAATGAAGCAACCCCTAGTTCTCACAGCTAGTACTCATGGCTCAAATAACAAGTGGGCTCTATATTCGGGTTGTACATTTCATATAACACCAAACAAAAGTGTACTGTTTGATCTACAGGAAGGAGATGGAAGTAAAGTTCTAACGGCAAATGACACACAGTCCAAAGTAAAATGCATTGGAAAGATTAGAATTACTAGTGACGAAGAAGCAATAATCATTCTTAAATATGTTCGTTATATGCCAGATATGAGCATGAACTTAATCTCAATGTTAGAGAAGTCAAGATGTAGCTATCAAGGTGGAGACTTCACTGTAACATTTTATAAAGATGGACGGAAAGTGGACAGGCAAATATGAGAATGGCTTATACTATATACAAAGAATCATCATGTGGTGAAGCTAATGTCAGTGAATCTACTGATATGAAGACTAAAGTTTGGCATGCTCGATTGGGGCACATGAGTTCTAAGAACATGAAGTTTCTTATAAAGGAAGATTTTATACCAAAGACTGAAGTGAGGAAACTAGAGTTTTGTGAAGGTTGCAAGCTTGGAAAATCACATAAGCAAAGCTGTCCTACGGCTAAACATACTACTAAAGGCGTATGTACATTCAGATATTTGGGGTTTTTCATCAACTCTGGAAAGTCTTGGAGGTTACAAGTATTTCATAAGTTTTATTGATGATTTCTCTAAGAAAGTGTGTGTTTATTTCCTAAGAACTAAAGATGAAGCATTCTCTAAGTTCAAGGAGTGAAAGAAGCAGTTGAAAGGTACAAAAAGAAAATATCAAATGTCTACTTACTGGCAATGTGTTGGAATATTGCAACAATTAGTCTGATGAGTTGTGTAGAACAGATGGAATAAAAGATATCGCACTTGCACGTACACTCCTTAACATAATGGGGCTTCAGAACGTATGAACCGCACCATCATAGATAAAGTGAGACGTATGTTTGCAGAAACATGGTTGGGACAAGAGTTTTGGGCAGAACCTACTTCTACAGCAGTGTATCTGATAAACCCGACACTAAATTGAAAACCTTAGACTTCATGCTTCCAGAAGAAGTTTGGTCCAGGAACATGCCTGATTTATCACACCTGAGAAGGTTTGGGTACACAGCCTACTTTTATGTTACTCAAGAGAAGACTAGT